CGTATGAAGGAATAAATGATGGTTTGCACACCCCCTGTTACATACAATATTGCACTGAGTGTTAGTGGCGTCCAAACCGGGGAATGGAAAAGAAGCAGATGCTCTTATCTAAATTAGAGGATAAATAACATCTCCAAACCCATGAATGCTTTTGAATTATTCTAGAGATAAAAGGTATATGGGAAAGGATAGAAAACCAGGAACATATAACGCAGAGGCAACATGTGCAAAATTGAGTTGGATTGCTTACGTGGCTAAGTTCAAGGTCTCTTTGCTCTTTTTTCCTGAAAATTAAACAAAAAACGAAAGGATTATTTAAATTATATTTAAGTCACCAACATAATAAAATCACACAATAAAATCTATACGGGACGTAACAGCTGTTAGACACGTTAGCTCAACGTCTTTATCATGCTTCGCTTTAGACATAAGGATGGATGTATTGTTGAAAAAATGGATGCATGAATTTATAGATTGATGTGTGGATAAATGGATAGACCGACAGGCAAATAGACGGACGCACTGATTGACAGACGCCCAGAAAACAAAGAGTAGGATATTTATATACATCTACTCACTTACCAAGCTATCACATAATAACATATCCGATTATACATCTTTGGATCAAATCATCGCTGTGCCAAGTTATCTACCTTTCTTTATTTCCATCTGTTCGGCGATTCGCTGTCAAAATGTCAACAAATGCCCGTTACAATCCACCCACCTATACTCAATGTCACTAACCTACAGGTCTCCAGTCCTACCGTTTTTCCATCCGTCCATTTGTCGAGAGTATTTCTGTATATCTGTATGTGTGTCCATTAGTGCATCCATCTGTTCGTCTATCCATTGATCTATTCATCCTTCAACACATACCTTTATAAATACATACATTCCATCTACTTTTTAATCTCCATCGAGGAGACTTACGTGGAGATTAACGTGTTCACCAGGTGTGACCTACCATTTAATCTTTATTTTGCTGTGAAGTAAATAAAATGCCTTTGCTTTTGTTGAATTTTACAGAAACAGGCAAACATTCCTTGAACTTAAGCACGTCAGAAATCCAGATCAATTATGCTCATGTTGCATCTGCGTCATACATTATTGATATTCCAACTTTTCTCCAGAAAATTATATTTTTTAACTGGACAAAATCAAAGCAGTCATTATCATAAAGATTTGTGTATTCTGTAACTCAGATTAGGAGTTTCTGATTCTTTCTCCAACCCTCCATGTAGACGCCCGTGATATTCTGACCTTCCGTCTCTAAATTGGGAGGGGGTAGGCAGTTGCACAAAAAATCAATTATCCCTTTATCCATTCAGCAATTTATGATTCTACTCACGTACAGCACTATCATTATTCTATGTATCCGTCTTATTATTTATAGATCGAATGATCACATAAGTTTTAGATCTAGCTTTCTGAGTGTCTGTTTTACCGGAGTGTTTGTTCGTCCGTCCGTCAAGTTAACCGCCGTCCAACTCACATCTTTAGACCTACACATTTATCTGGTTACATTCCAACCCGAACATCTGCATAAATGTCCTATTGGTCCCACCCATTTGTTTGTCCTTCCATCCGGCAACCTTTCGGATATTCTGTCTTTCCGCCTGTAAGTCCGTCTTATTTTTCGTCAGTCTGCACGTTTGTCAATCAGTGCGTGGGTCTATTTGTCTTTTCCGTCCTTCCGTCTAACCCCTTCCATTCTATCCACCATCCATCAATAAATTCATTCATCTTTCCTTTCAACAATACATCCATCTTACTGTCTAAATAGATGGACAAACAGAGCGACGGTTTGATTGCTTGATAAATGATGTTTTACCTCCCCGTCCACGACCATTAAGTACGCCTTTCGGAATATCAGGGATGTCTACACCGGGTTCAGGAAAGAAGCAAAAGCTCCTAATCTTAGTCTAAGGGAATGAATACATTCTCCCCTTCTTCTGTCTGATGTTCAACTTCTCCAGATAACGAAACTTTGATTGGAACGGAAAGTATTCCAAAAAAATCACAAAGAGACAACATGTGCAAAGTTCTTCTTCTTCTATATCTTAAGGGCCCACGATCAATTTATTGATCATTTTGGCTCCTATGCATGTAGATGGGATTTGCAATGTTTCTGTTACTGGTGTTGATGAGGAAATCATGCACTAGGGGTTTGAAGGCTGGAGGCAATAGACACAAATGTGTCTAGTGTTGTCGCCTCAACCGTTCCTTTTGAAAGATTGTTCCAGTCCCTGATTGTCTTGGGCAGGAATGAGCAGCTCCTATACTGGCTTCTTGCTGGTAGGAGCCTGAATTGCCTGTCATGGCCTCGTCGCTGTCTATGGGGGAGAGGGACGAGTTTCTGTTTAATACTGGAACAGTGGACCAGCCCATTATTTATCTTGTACATCATGGAGAGCCTGGATTGTCGTCGTCGTTTCTCCAATGGTGACCAGCCTAGTGTTTCTATCATGCTGCCAACACTAGAGGTATTCCTGTAGCGGTTTAGGACAAAGCGTGCTGCTCGTCGCTGGACCGCCTCCAACCTGTAAATGCTCTTCTGGGTAAATGGGTCCCAGACTGAAGATGCATAATCTAAAATCGGACGGATAAAGGCTTTATGTGCTCTTTCTTTCACACACGAGTTGCCAATCTTTAGATTTCGCCTTAAGAACCCTAGGGTCTTGTTTGCTTGGTTACATACATTGTTAATATGCTCGTCCCAGCGGACCTCTCTTTGAATGGTAACACCCAGGTACTTTACGGAGGAAACTTGCTCAAGAATATGGCCGTGCAGTTTGTATTGGTAGTGTAGAGGAGTACAACTTCGAGAGACTGATAGTGTCTGGCACTTGGCAAGGTGAAATTCCATGTCCCAGCTTATCTTCAACTCAGCTAACAGATTGAGATCCTGTTGTAGCTGGTCCTTAGGATTGCCTAGGTGGCAAAGTTCAAGGTCTCTTTGACGGTTTCCTGGAAAACGTAACAAAAGAGTAAACTTATTTACATTTTCTCATTCTCACGACAAAGTAAATTATATGATGCACGTAAAAGAATGTTAATATCATTTATGGGCGTGTGTGTTGGCATAACTAGGGGGGTGGGGTTACTATCCGGTGTTTACTTTGATGAATATATTTATCTTAGGTTTGTTTGGTGGGTGTTGCGATTTCAATATTTTGCCCCAGGCGGCACAAGATGCACAAATGTAAAGTCGGCCTATTTCATTAATATAGCAATATGTTTAAGTCTAAATATGTTACCTACAGGAAAGCTTCTTCCGAAAACACATTTCAGGGACAAGATGCACAAATGTAAAGTGGGCCTATTTCATGAATATAGCAATATGTTTAAGTCTAAATATGTTACCTACAGGAAAGCTTCTTCGGAAAACTCATTTCAGGGACAAGATGCACAAATGTAAAGTGGGCCTATTTCATGAATATAGCAATATGTTTAAGTCTAAATATGTTACCTACAGGAAAGCTTCTTCCGAAAACACATTTCAGGGACAAGATGTACAAATGTAAAGTGAGCCTATTTCATGAATATAGCAATATGTTTAAGTCTAAATATGGAAAGCGGTATAACGATTGTTTTAATAACGTATACAATAATTGTACCGTATTCCAAAAACACATTTCAGGGGCAAGTTTGAGGAAACGTACATTTGTATGGGATTACTATACATATAACGAATCCGATAGTATTACAGTTGTGGGAAGAAATGGTAAAAATTGTTTTATTAATTAATAAAATTTGATTCTAACAATGTCGGAAAAATTCATTTCGATGGCATACTGACATAAGTATACTGCACCACTCAATGAAGTTCGAACATCCAGATTTTCTCAAATTTACAAATATGCAGTTCAGGGTGAGGATAAGGGTAGGATAAAAATATGTTTTTATTAAACAGTGTTATTGTAATGTTGCGTTACAATGCATTTATCGTACGAAAGAAGGAGAGTGGGAAAGTCATTACATTGATTACAGTGTCTAAAAACCCCATAGCTTGACACGTTATAATGTTACGAAAATATTACCCCCTTGGGGCTGAACAACGAGTGGTTAAGATTTTTATTTTAAAAATAAGAAAAAAACACTTGCGTTTTTATTTTGAGGAAAATACAGTCTTTAAAAAAGTGCGCGTATTTCTTATGAGATTTATATTTATTTTTTTAAATTGATTTTTCCATATTTGAGAATTTCTTCTTTAAATATAAGAAGTTTATAAATTCAAACGAATTAAGGTCCGTTAATTTAGTTCAGAAGCGATTCCAAAGAATTGTTAACTTTTAAATGAAGATACAAATATATCAACATCTAATAATGTTGCAAAAATCTACAAAAGCAGATCTATTGCTTTTCTGATTTTAAATTTAATTCTTGGGTAGGCCCATATATTATTGAAGATAAACATGTATCAAAACTCAAAAGTTTAAGAAACGTAAAATTCTATTCATTCATTTAAAACAAAAATTTAGAAATCTTATTTACTACATCGTAAAAAGCATTTCAAGAGCATTACATTTTAAATCCATTTCAGTTAAACCGGCGAAAAGGGAGATTTTCAGATGTTCATACTTCACAAAAGCACGTAAGAAATTTTTGAATATTTCTCCGGTAACACCTGGTCACACATTCTAATGTATCGAGAATATTTTTAAAAAAAATTAGAATCGTGTGTTGCTTTTTTAAATTGAAATGATATATTTGTTTTACAGAGACGACACTTTGTCTTTTTTTAGCATAAATTTGTTTATCGACATCTTATTTCGACTAAAAAGTGTTTATTACAAACACTTTTGACGAAAAAAAATTGTGATCTTACTATAAAAAAGAATGACCAGCGGTAACTAAGGCGCAATCTCTGAAGAAAATGTTTTAGAACCGCGCTTAGATTTGTTATGTATTGAAAATAACAACATTTGTTTAGAAATAATCAATCCCAACACATTTTTCAGCTCAAATCTATTTATACCACTTTTTCTGTTTTGAAACGCACCTTTTCTCGGCAGAAGGCAAATGGTGTGTTACTTGACTACTCGTGTGTGATTGTTTTAGGCATACACAACAAGTGAGTGTACACATTTTCTCCTTAATATTTTTTTTTAAAAAGATGTTAAGAGTTAAAAATGTAACAGATACGATGAATGCATACATATTATTTAATTTTTGGTTTAAATTTTTGGCTTTAAAAAAAGCTTTGGCGAAACTGATTAAAAATCAGTCAATACATTAGCGCATTTAAGTTTTAAAACATTCATGAATAAAAACAACTCATCTTGTTCATTCATGCCTCATTACAACAACACAGGCCAATCAGGTCACGCACTTCACTCACAACTCACAATAAAAATCTTCCGACATTCTATCACGGAAATAGCGCGATATCTTGAAAAATTGAAGAAAAAAAAAAGGAAAACTAGTTTAACGACAAAAACGAAAACCGTAAACTGATTTCAGTGAATTTGTTTTGTCGATATTTTATTTAAAGATACAAGCCTTATGCTGTGGCGTTGTAGTTTTTTAAAATTATTATTTTTGTTTTTTGCAATTTATTTTTAATGTCAATGTAGATTAATAGATATACAAAATATTATACATTAAAATTAAATATATTAATTGTATCGGGTCTACTAATGTACTCTATATTCCAGTCAAAATGTCTACCTTTAAAGACTACACATTGATACTTGTTGGTAAAACTGGATTGGGTAAAAGTACAACAGGAAACACGATTATTGGAGAACCCAAATTTCAGGCCAGTGACTCAGGTAAATCTGTCACATCTGAATGTCAAGTTGAAGAAGGTGAGAATTTCGGATACAGAGTAACGGTAGTGGACACACCTGGAGTTATGGACACAACTGTCAATAGTGACGAAGCTAAAGTGAAGACGCGCGGAGAAATGATAGAGGCCATCTCTGAATGCACAGATTCTGGAAAACGAGCTCTTTGCCTGGTGCTGAAGTACGGCGAGCGCTTCACTGAGGAAAACAAGAAATCTTTGTATATTCTGACATGCGTATTTGGTGATGAGTTTCTTGCCAAGTCGTGTGTGATCATATTCACACATGGGGATTCTTTTGATGAAAACTACGAAGAAGAAGAAAAATCTTTCGACGAATGGTGTCGTGAACAACAAGAGGAACTTGGGGACTTGCTAAAAGCATGTGAGTACCGCTGTGTACTCTTCAGAAACAAAACTGAAAGTGTTGACATCAAGAAAAATGAAATGGAAGAATTATTTCGGTGCGTAGAAGCATTGAATGAAAGTTACACCGATGAAAAATTTACAAATGCTAAAAAGAGACACAAGCGGCTTCTTCTTGAATCAAATTTGAAAAGAAAACTCGATTATTTTAATAAAAAAATTGAAGATTTACATACAGAAATAGATGAAATTACACTGAATGATAGTAATGAAGAAACAATACAGGCTCTTAAAGATAAGGCTGAAGAAATTTTGAATGAAATTAAACTAGAGGAGGATGGTGTTTTTTATGATAATGGCGAACTGAGTTTGCTGAAAGATCAAATCAACCGAATTGAGAAGATTTTTACAAAATCTGATGAACTACTTCATTTTGCAAAGTTAAATGAGATCAAACGTAAAATGTTAAATGACATACGATCGCGAAAATCCAACATTACCCAAAGTAGACGTTCGGACTTTGCAGTAAAAAGAATAACAGTGGAAATTCACAAACACGAAATTGAAAAGTTAAGAAATCACTGGCGAGAACATGTTAAGATTTTCATACGATCCGATGTGATATGTCAAAAGTTATTTAAGGATTCTGGAAACAACACATTCCTGAGTGAACAAGATTTAAACGTGTTTGATAATGTTTTTCAGAAATTTGACCTTATGATGGATGAACTCCGGATTTTAGAAGAAGATGTCACATTAAGTGAAAAAAATAGAACTGAAAAAGAAATTGATGATGAGATTAAGGCTTTATTCGAGAAACTGCACTCGATTCCCTCCACAGAAACAAACACAAAAACGGCAACTGAAATTAAGAACGAAGCCGACGCTCTTATAGAATCATTGAAAGGTGATACCCGTTTGGATAAATTTTTAGAGCAAATAATTGATCTGAAGACGCAGGCCGAACAGAAGATAACTAAGTGTGAAAATAACTATAAGAAATGGGCAGTTGGCCTCGGGGTTGGTATCGCAACGGGGCTTGTAGGTACTGCTGGGGTTGTGGCAATGTGCAGTAAACATGTTGTAGCAAATGTAGTCGGTAAATTTGCTCCAAGTGCAGCAAACTTTCTTTTGAATTTTGGATCAAGGGTATGCACGAGGCTTTTTAACAATTAAAAACTAAATAAGAACTAATGATTAAAAACAAAAATAGTAGAATTTAAAAGAGACGAACCAATGAATTATTTTGGTTGAAATTACCACATGCTTCAACTCAGACATATCCAACAACATTGAACTCCTTTAAAAAAAAACCAACAACATCAGGTGGTGGTGAAGACCAGTTAACACATATGTATTGCTATTCAATCTTCTTATGAATGATCTGCCGATCTGCCTCTAGGTTTCCGTCAGCATTCAACTTTGACTCAACTATACTGTATCATTTTCTGTACGTGTCTTGAGGCATGACTTGCGCCGTCTGAACCTTTAAAAACTCACACCAGTAGAGTTATCTCTTGATTGTTTATAAATTCGCTAGCGATAATCTTTCCATAAATTCAGTAAACACATATATCCGTTAAAAATGAAATCTTTTTCCCTTTTCTAAATTAGACTAGTTTGTTTAAATTGATAGTTTGTTTGCAATAATTTATATCTCACCTAGCTAAAAGGCTACTTGACTTACTTTAGTTAAATAAAAAGGATGTTTTTTATTGCTTAAAAAGTTTCGTTTCTTGTTTGGTAAATCTTTGAAAGACAATGCTAGGCATTGTTGCTTCTACAATTCTTTCCATGATATCAGTCAATGGTTTCTTTATGTTATTTCTAAACATGAGGTGTTTTAAAATTAAAGTTCTTTCGCTTATTAAATTTATTTATAAAATCTGTCACGGTAAATTACAATTTAAAAACATATGTTTATTTTTCAACATAAACACCACTTTGCTATGAAGTACAGACACTATATTGAACCCAAAATTTTCAATTTCACAAAATTGATGAAAACTCGAGTAAAATTCCCATAATATAAACAATATTATGGGCAGTACAACTATGTATAAATATATGTTTGTATGTAGTTTTGAATGTATGTTTATATGTATGTATGTATGTATGTATGTATGTATGTATGTATGTATGTATGTATGTATGTATGTATGTATGTATGTATGTATGTATGTATGTATGTATGTATGTTTGTATGTATGTATGTATGTATGTATGTATGTATGTATGTATGTATGTATGTATGTATGTATGTATGTATGTATGTATGTATTTATGTATTTATGTATGTATGTATGTATGTATGTATGTTTGTATGTATGTATGTATGTATGTATGTATGTATGTATGTATGCATGTATGTATGTATGTATGTATGTATGTATGTATGTATGTATGCATGTATGTATGTATGTATGTATGTATTTATGTGTGTATGCATGTATGTGTGTATGTACGTATGTGTGTGTGTATGTAGGTATGTATGTATGTTATGTGTGTAATGTGTATGTATTTATTTATGTATTTGTATGTATGTATGTATGTATGTATTTATGTATGTAAGTATGTATGTATGGATGTGTATATGTACTTTTTTGTAAAGAATATTAGTAGTGAAAGTAAACCGCAAAAAAATGGATTTAAAAAAAAATGACATGACCTATCTCCTGACCAAAGGATAAGCTCATGGAAATTGTGATGAAATCCATTTACCCTAAAAAATGGTTTTGTTTTCAAAACCTTTATATTTATTTCATTTTCGCTCATGGGTGGTTTGCTGGGTGGCAAAATGTTTGGAAGGCTAATTGATCAACTGCCCGTTAACACATTGAGCGGAAACTTAGGACACAGGCTCGTTACCACTGACAACATATTCAATTAAAATTTCAGCCCCACCCTCAACCCCAACAATTTCACCTCATTTTAAGTGGAAGATAAAGGAAATAAGACGGCACGGAATTCACGAAATAAATTCTCATCCTCGTTGCTTGATATTACATTTGATAAAGAATTTACTTTTAAAAAAAAAAGAAAACTTTGATTTTTATGGGCTGTTTAATTCAATATATACCTTTAAAAATTATATGCTAGTTTTAAAAAAAATAAAACAAACTTTGCAATGCCTCTTTCTCAAATGTTTATTAAATTTGGAACTTTTGATTCCCTTTAATGATAGATTAATTGTAATTATATTTTTTTAAATTTCAAACGGAATCTATAATAATTCTAGATAAATTTTAGTTAAGTTTTTCAGATATCAGTCTGGGATGATTGTCAACCTTATTTTCCAGTTAATGCATAATGGATGTGTTGCTTATGGTTGAAATGGCTAGAAAGACTTTGCCATTGTATGCTTGTAATTAGTTTTTGTAGTGTTGCGTTTATTTTAAATGTGGTAAATTATAGATTTGTTTTTTGTTGACTTTGTACCGCGCTTCGAGCCTTTGGGGATATTTTTTTTATTTTATTTTTTTTTTTTTTTTTTTTTTTTTTTTTTTTGTTTTTTTTTCTTAATTTTTTTTTTTTTTTTTGTGTGTGTGTATGTCTCGCTTTATTTCTTAAAAAAACGTTCTTAATATTTCTAGATGATTCTATAGCGTTCGATATCTTCTGGCTGTTGTTAAGATTATAGAAATTTCCTACTTATGTCATTTGTGTTTCTATAATGAACAATGATTTTCCAATTAAAATGAAATTTAAAGGTATTTTTTTTTTTTTAGTTTCCAAAGAAATTGAACGATTCGGAGATTTAATTGTTCACTACAATTACAGAATCAATTACTTGTTTAAAACTAAAATTTTACTTGAATGTTTCTTTTTATAAGGTTAGCTACTTAAGAGCTACAAAAAACGCACGTTATCAAAAAATTTATTTTTGTAAAGTTGATTAATAAAATAGCTAGAATTTTTGCATTTTCTTATAAATATTTTCGTACTTACATAACGGTAACCCAAAATAAGAATTTTTCTCAAGTTCCTAGAAAGTTTTACAAAACTGGTTAGGAATTTTCCAGAATGTAGATATGAACGTTATGTAAATGATATACAAACTATATAATTTAGGACACCTGTTAGTAATTTTATAATTTTAAGGAATTTTTTTCGATTTCGTTTAATTTGTTGTTTAAAATTTCCTAGAATGTTCTAGTAATTGCTCTTTGGATATGATCATGCTATATTTTGTATGGCTCCATGAATTCCAAAAGTTAACCTGATTGTAAATAAATACGATTAAAAAGTATTTTTCAATAAGATTCTTTATTCATATAAAATAGATTTTTAAAAATTACATTATGTATATCCAATTTAGCACATAAATACATACATACATAATCAAAAACAACATTTTACAATTTGAAGAATTTTAAAAAAAACATCAAGTAATGCTCAAGTGTAGAAAATCCTTTAGTGAAAATATTGACCTAATTAGGGATCAATTATATTAGATACCCGCTTGGGGAGGACGCTGGTAAACTCGGAAAGGCCGGGTACAAAAGAATTAGTATATCTTTCGGTCCTAACTTAAAGGGAAAGATTTCCCATACCAGCAGGTAAAATTGAAGCTTATTAGGCCTCTAATTATTGCACTGTAGAATATATTAATAACTTGTTTTGTGTTCCAAAAGTGTACACTTTTTTAGGTTAGAAATTTTGTAAAAAGTTTTAAGTTATTGTTTAAGTTTCGAGTGAAAATTAATTTATTTTTTTTCCTGCAAGTTTCCAAACAAATCTATGATTTTACTCACACTTTATCAATTGTTATTAATGAGGTTTCTAGAAATTCCTTAAGTGTTTTTTTAAGATTCTGTTATCTTAAAGAATTGTTCATTTGTTTCTATAAATGTTTATATGACATTAGTTTAGGTAACCATTTCCTGTGTGCCATGCATTAACGATTAGAAAATTCTTTGAATTGTTATGTAATGTTCCATAATGTTTTTGGAGCTTAATGGGGAATGTTAATATGATAATTAAAGACTTTTGAGGATTATTGATTTAAAAAAAAAAATTGGAATAACATTTTTAAAAATTAGTCCAGAAAATTTGTAAAATGCAATGAGAATATAGTTAAATAATATATATTAATTTCCAAATTTAAATATAAAATATTGTTGTTATTGTTGTTATGCCTTTCTACCCCATCTGGGGCATAGGCCGTCTACAAGAACTTTCCACTCCTCCTGGTCATGTGCTTTCCTTTCCAATTGCTTCCAGGTGTATCCCATTTTTTGCGTGTCAGCCTCTAGCTGGCGTCTCCATGTATTTTAGGTCTTCCTCTCTTTCTTTTTCCCTGTGGGTTCCACGTTAGGCATTGTCTGGTGGTGCTATCTGGGGGTTTTCGGAGCGTATGTCCTATCCATCTCCACCTCTTCTTTATGCTGTCTTCATCAATGGGCACCTGGTGTGTGCTTTCTGATAAATCTTTGTTATTGATCGTATTTGGCCATTTTATTTTTAGCATTTTTCTAAGGCATGTGTTTATGTTTGTCTGCACTTTCTGCATAAGGCTCGCTGTTGTTTAACAAGTTTCTGCACCATATAGTAGGACTGTTTTGACATTTGTGTTAAAGATTCCGACTTTGGTTTGCAGTTTCAGCTCTTTCGACTCCCATATTTTCTTTAATAGTACAAATGCTGATCTAGCTTTTCCAATTCTGGCCCTTACGTCTGCATCGGATCCGCCATCTGTGTCTATGGTGATGCCTAGGTATGTGAAGGACTCCATTTCTTCCAGTGCCTTTCCTGCCAGATAGATTTGCTCATGGTTGGATGGGTTTACCTTCAAGATTTTTGTCTTGCTTTTATTTATATTGAGACCAAGCTGTGCTTAAAAGGTAGCTACGTCTTTTGTCTTTTCCTGCATTTGTTGTTGGTTGTGGGACAGAAGTGCAATGTCGTCTGCAAAGTCTAAATCATTCAGTTGTTCCCAGAGTGTCCACTGTATCCCATTCCTCTTTTTATCTGTGAATTCTTTCATTATCCAGTCAATGGCAAGGATGAATATAAGTGGGGACAAGAGGCATTCTTGTCTGATTCCTGTTTCGACTGTAAAGGAATCTGTGAGTCTACCTTCGTGGACCACCCTGCATGTCATTTCTTCATAAGAGCTCTGAATGATCCTGACTAGTTTCCCTGGTACTCCATAGTGCCGAAGAAATTTCCACAAGGTTCGTCGTTCCAGGCCATCAAAGGCCTTTTTCGTAGGCTATAAAATGTATATATATGGAGGAATTCCATTCGATAATCTGTTCTACGTCGATTCTTAGTGTTGCTTTTTGATCTGTGCATGATCTGTTTTGGCGGAAGCCAGCCTGTTGATCTCGTAGCTGCATGTCGACCTGGTCTTTCATTCTGTTCAAAATAATTATGTTAAAGACCTTTCCTGGTACAGACAGCAGTGTGATTCCTCTGTAATTTGCACAATTGCTGAGATCCCATTTCTTTGGGATCTTAATGAGATATCCTTCTTTCCAATCTTTTGGAACTCTCTCTTCTTCCCATATCTTTTCAAACAGAGGGTGCAGCATGTTGACTATTGAATCTATATCAACTCTCATTCTCTGCTGTGATGTTGTCCGGTCCCGGTGATTTCCCTAATTTGAGCTGCTTGATGGCCAGAGCTATTTCCTCCTTTTTTGGTGCGCCTTCTTCTATCTGTAGGTCTTCA